ACGCTCCAGGGTGGAGGCTAGGGGGACGCTCCAGGGTGGAGGCTAGGGGGACGCTCCAGGGTGGAGGCTAGGGGGACGCTCCAGGGTGGAGGCTAGGGGGACGCTCCAGGGTGGAGGCTAGGGGGACGCTCCAGGGTGGAGGCTAGGGGGACGCTCCAGGGTGGAGGCTAGGGGGACGCTCCAGGGTGGAGGCTAGGGGGACGCTCCTGGACTAACGTCATCATGTCAACTATCAACGGTGACAGAGTCCGGATAGATGATATCAACAGCGGAATTGTTCCAATTGCCAAGATTCGTTAATAGTTAATTATTCCGTTTAATTAATGAGACGGCATTGATCTAAGCCAATCAGTGACCAGCCCACCAAAGCTCACTGTTCGAATGATCAGAATTCACTGTTTAAATAAAATTACAATACATAAGCACCGGATTAACCATTGTCCTGAATGTTGGGAATATTCGGATAAGAGAACACTCACCGGAGCCAGGATGAGTCAAGCATTTTCACAAATATTTACGAACCTATTGGGCACCTTTTCTCCATCTTAGGCGGCTTTGTTTACCTTTGTGAGACACTTTACCAGCACTGAACTTTCTAAATGAAGTGTTGTTATTGTTATAGATAATTTGTGAGCTCCAAGTGCTTCGGAGGTGGTAAACTGTTCACTAAGTCATAACCTTCATATTGACATGGATAAAATAAGTGCTTGAAGCACCATGTGGCCAATAGAATTCAATGTGAATAAATGTAATTTAATGGAATGTGGAATAGGAGAAAATAGACCTCACACAACTTACTAATTATGTGGAAAGGAATTAAAGAACTCTACCAAAGAAGGAGACCTAGGGAGGTGGTTTTGGGTAGTAAGCTGTCGCCAGAGGAACACATAAAGATCATTGTGAGAGGAGCGTATGTGTCGCTTTCCAACTTCGAATGGCTTTGATGGAGAATAGATAGATGGAGAAACACTAAAGAAACTTCATGACTTGTATGGTGCCCATAGACTCCCTTAAGAAGCACATCGATAAACTGGAAAAGGAGAAATGGCCTGCTACAAAATGTCTTCCGGAAGGAAGGAATTATCATGGGAAAGCGCTATATAGCACTTTGAAGGGGTCAGGGTAAGCATCTGGGATGGGACGGGCGGAAGGAATGGTGTCCAACCATTCCGGACGGTCGGGGATTGAACGCCGACCTGCTTGAAGCGAGACCGTCGCTCTACCGTCCAGCCCAGTCTTCCGGAACTGAGAAAACAAGAGTTACGAGCAGAAGGTAGAGGCGTTACGTATTCCAGAGCTAGAAGATAGAAGAAAAAGAGGCGATGTGATCACCACTTACAAAATAAAAACGCGAATTGACCAAATTGACAAAGATGAATTCCTGAAACCGACAACTTTACCAACACGAGGACACACAGATTCAAGCTAAGGAAACAAAGGTGCCGAAAAAATATTAGTACATTTTCTCTTACAAACAGAGTGGTAGACGGTTGGAACAAGTTAGGTGAGAAGGTGGTGGAGGCCAAGACCGTCAGTAGTTTCAAAGCGTTATATGACAAAGAGTGCTGGGAAGACGGGACACCACGAGCGTAGCTCTCATCCTGTAACTACACTTAGGTAATTACATACTCACACACAAAGGCCTTGTAAACGACGGTAGTCACGTTCACTGTCCTAGGAATTAAGGTCATAATTGCATTAATTACGTAAAATTAACCTTCCTGATGAACCATTAGTGCATTCACGAGATATACTCTAAAGTTTACTCTCAAAATACACCATGGTATATTTTCGCGAAATGCGATGACGGTCGCGAAACGTCCACTGACAATCGTGAAACGTTCAGTGACAATCGTGAAACGTTCAGTGACAATCGTGAAACGTTCAGTGACAATCGTGAAACGTTCAGTGACAATCATGAAACGTTCAGTGACAATCGTGAAACGTTCAGTGACAATCGCGAAACGTCCAATGACAATCGCGAAACGTCCAGTGACAATCGTGAAACGTCCAGTGACAATCGCGAAACGTCCAGTGACAATCGCGAAACGTCCAGTGACAATCGCGAATATATATATATATATATATATATATATATATATATATATATATATATATATATATATATATATATATATATATATATATATATATATATATATAATCAAATTGTGAATTAAACTGGCCTCAACCACTTGCCTCATGACTCACCCATTTACTCATCAACGTTACCCTGAAATAATGCCTCCGGTGACTCATTAGAATGTCTAGTTCCACTTATGTATAATTATGTGCAAACTGTCAACTGATTACTTATAGTATTTTGTATGTGTTGCTCATGTCTACCTTAGACTCCTGTGTTCTAGCATTGTGAATATCAATTTCCTGAGTCAGTCGTCTTCCTCAAATTCGCATTGTTCTGGCGACATTCTTTAGTGAAACCTTTGGACTTTTTACAAAAACATTTTGTGGTTTACGGTGTAAGGTTAAAGTTTAAGTTAAGATGGTAAGTTTACACTTAAGCTATAAGTGTAAACTCCACCACTGGTGTACAGAGCTTACAAGGGATTACTGTGTAGGGTCTTTGAAGGATCCTCTAATGTTTGTCTGGTTTCAGGTGTATTAGCTATAAGATATTGTGGTCGTGTATTGGGATCGAACTCTCACTTCTAGACTCGACAAATATGAGTGTTTTCTCATGGACACACTGTCTTGTGCTTTCATTATGTATCAGGTTTATGAGAGCTCCGAGTGATAGACTTATTTCAACCAATAGTTATATTTTCACTGAGTTTAGAAGCTATCTTGTAATCACTGCACACTTTTCGTGTCCTAGCGCCTGCTTCTGTTCTATTAAACTGTTATACAGGGCCGGTGATACGTAAGGAGAAGAGATGGAAACTATCAGCAGAAAACGCCAGGCCATTACGACTATATAGCACTTAGAAGGGATCAAGATAAGAATTGGGATGGGACGGCGGAAAGGAATGGTGCCCAACCACTTGGACAAAAGTCATTTTCAGTATCAGTTCAGGTTTTTGTTTAGCTCCTCCTGAAGCATCCATGGGTTCTTCCCTTCAGGCTTAATACTTTTTGTTAGTTTTGGATGTCTGTAAAAATAGTTTATATATTTCTATATGAAATCAAGTATTAGGTGAAGTTGGTATCCGTGGTGGGGAGGTGGTGGCAGCTCCGGCCAGCGCCTCCTCACCGGTGTGGTCTGGATTCGAGACCTGAATGGGGAACAGTGATTGGTTGCCAATCCTTGACTCTTTACCCAATGTCCACACAGCACTAATTTGGGATCTTGTTGTTAACCGAATTTCCATGGAAACTAGCGGGTAAGGCTTCAAGTTATTGACCTGTATGAGCACGTACTGTCACGTGCCTCACCAAGTTAGTAGCAGGACTATTAATGAATTCTTGGCAAGCCTAATCGTTAGTTCATAATAGGCCTACTAGTCAGCTAATGAAATTCGTGATTTTTAACTCTAACTTTCCAGAGTAGTTTTATGAAAGCTGGTCGACGGATAGCAGAGACAAACCACAATTCTCACTAGTTATTCAGTGTGTGATACTGTCACACGAACCACACTGTCTATGGGTCATCCAGTAATGTCAACAGACGTCTTGACTACTAGTGCTAACTAGGTTAAAGCCCGGCTACAACCCTGGAAACACAAACCGAAATTGTCTCTATTTTCCCCTTGTTACAGCTTGTAATAAAGTTGTTACATCTTGGCTTAACGTGTTTATGACGTATTAAAACGTTGTTACAACTTGCTATATTGGTTGTTATAACTGATTAGGTGTTAAAACTTGTTGGAACGTTGTACCAACGTCGTAGTTTCGGTGTGTATTTGACGGGAAGTAGCTCTGGGAGTGTGCTCCACCTGCTGGAGTAGACCAAGTGTAAACTCTGCCACCAGAGGTATACTCAGACTTTACCCCCACTCTACTTGAAGTGGAAAAATGATAAAATTTAGAGAAATTCAAAATATTTGTATTTCATTCAAAATGATGTACTACTAAAAGTCTTAACTTAATATCACTATAAATATGATTACTTTATTACATTGCCCGGCGTAGCTATTGTTATATAAAGGTCTTGAACCCTTCTGTATCGGTAACCAAGGATGCCTGTTAGTCATAGTGACTTTTGCAGGGTGACGGGTGGGTGGTGAAGGATGGTGATTAAAGTAAGAGGGGCGGGGGTCGGACCCCCCCCCCCTCCCCCCACTCTTGATACCAACTTCCAGTCTCACTAAATGCCAGACTCTATCCTGACTCTGACTCATCCAGCATTGTAGTGTCCTGGTGATTGTGAGCTGGGAGTCCGCGTGACTCCCAATGGTGATGTGGGGAGTCTGGTGGGGTGTGTGGGGGAGTTCTGAGAGCAAGTGAGTGAGCTTTATGCAGGTCGACGTTCAATCCCCGACCTTCCAAGTGGCACCATTCCTTCCCTCCGTCCTATCCTAAATCATTATCCTCATATCCCTTCCAAGGGCTCTGTCGTCGACATGGCTTAGTGCTTGCTCCTGATAATAACCCTACCTTTAACCCTAGGATTGTATACATAGGAACCATAGGATAATAGCCTCACAATTCCAGTGTATTAAGTGTGAGGATAGTTTGATTATTTGATATTCAATTCAATAATAAAACATTTTGACTCCAGATTAATAACGCTTTGCTTAAGTAATTATTAATTAAGTTAACGTCTGCTGGCTCGATGATACACAGCTGCCATTACTGTAGGGTACACCAGGATGCCTGTGTCCTGTGTCCTGTGTCCTGTGTTCTCTGTACTGTGTCCTGTATCCTGTCCTGTGTCCTGTGTTCTCTGTACTGTGTCCTGTATCCTGTCCTGTGTCCTGTGTCCTCTATACTGTGTCCTCAGTCCCTTGTACTGTGTTCTAGGTTCTATGTCGAATGTACTGTGTCGTGTAATAATGAAAGTATTACTTAATGTTTGCCTCGTGTTCCTGGTGGGGCGACAGTTCGACAACGCCACTCTGGTGAACGACATCGCGCTGCTGCAGCTGGTGAGGTCCGCCCGCCGGAAGGGCAACATCGACGCCGTCTGCATGCCCAAGAAGAACGACTTCGTGGAGGGCGTCCCCACCAGGTGCTACGTCACGGGCTGGGGCCGCAAAGATGAGGGTGAGACACCTGCAGACACATACACTGATGCTCACGCTTGTATAGGACGTGTGTGTGTGTGTGTGTGTGTGTGTGTGTGTGTGTGTGTGTGTGTGTGTGTGTGTGTGTGTGTGTGTGTGTGTGTGTGTGTGTGTGCCTGTAGGGGCGAGGTGTTAGCTCCATGACCCCGCCTTTCTAACAGTCAGTTGTTTAATGTACTGACTCCTAACTTATTTGATTTTATCGTATCTGCTATATATATTTTTCTCTCTTTCACACTCACACACACACACACACTCGGGAAGGGGGGTCTGGTAGCTGAGTGGACAGCGCGCAGGGCTCGTAATTCTGTGGCCCGGGTTCGATTTTCGGACCAGGCAGAAACAAATGGGCTAAGTTTCTTTCACCCTGATGCCCCTGTTACCTAACAGTAAATAGATACAGGGGAGTTAGACAACTGTTACGGGCTGCTTCCTGGGTGTGTGTGTGTGTGTGTGTGTGTGTGTGTGTGTGTGTGTGTGTGTGTGTGTGTGTGTGTGTGTGTGTGTGTGTGTGTGTGTGTGTGAAAAAAATGTAGTTAGTAACAGCTGATTGACAGTTGAGAGGCGAGCCGAAAGAGCAGAGCTCAACCCCGCAAGCACAACAAGGTGAGTACAACTAGATGAATACACGCACACACACACACACACACACACACACACACACACACACGTTGGAAGACAGAAGAGTTAGGGGGGACATGATCACCACATTCAAGATTCTCAAGGGAATTGACAGGGTTGATAAAGACAGGCTGTTTAACACAAGGGGCACACGCACTAGGGGACACAGGTGGAAACTGAGTGCCCAAATGAGCCACAGAGATATTAGAAATAACTTTTTTAGTGTCAGAGTGGTTGACAAATGGAATGCATTAGGAAGTGATGTGGTGGAGGCTGACTCCATACACAGTTTCAAGTGTAGATATGATAGAGCCCTAGAGGCTCAGGAACCTGTACACCTGTTGATTGACAGTTGAGAGGCGGGACCAAAGAGCCAGAGCTCAACCCCCGCAAGCACAACTAGGTGAGTACACACACACACACACACACACACACACACACACACACACACACACACACACACACACACACACACACAGTAAGTGCCTCTCTGAAGTCTTCAACAGTGTGCAATGTTTATATAATATCATATCATTGCCACTATTTTGCATTTCATTCAATAATAGCATAGTAATGTTGACGGAGACAAGAGGCAAGGACCTCACTCAGGGTCTGGAAACCCAGACATTAATAGCACTCACAGAAACAAAGCTCACGAAATCCATAACAAATGCAGTGTTTCCGCAGGAATACTATGTAGTAAGGAAAGAGAGGGAAGGAAGAGGAGGAGTATCTCTTCCGACAAAAGGAGAATGTAGTTTTGAGAAAATGGTTATTCAGGACTGTGAAGGTTTCAGTGACAACAACAAGAAGTACCGTAGCAATTGGAGGACAAAAACTCTCACACACACACACACACACACACACACACACACACACACACACACACACACACACACACACACACACACACACACACACACACACACACAATACAGGAGTATACACATGGGCTGTTATACCCGTCCGAGGAACAAGCTTCTGAAACACCTATTACATGCTCCCGCTCTGAATTTAATTGTCTGTTTACTAATTCATGTGCAATTATTTCTGGAAATTTTATGCAAATACGAAACATTTGTTTGCTTCGCTTTTAGTTCTAATGTGTATAGTGGTCCCTGAGAGTCAATAGTGGTCCCTGAGAGTCAATAGTGGTCCCTGAGAGTCAATAGTGGTCCCTGAGAGTCAATAGTGGTCCCTGAGAGTCAATAGTGGTCCCTGAGAATCCATAGTGGTCCCTGAGAGTCAATAGTGGTCCCTGAGAGTCAATAGTGGTCCCTGAGAGTCAATAGTGGTCCACAGAGAGTCAATTGTGGTCCCTGAGAGTCAATAGTGGTCCCTGAGAGTCAATAGTGGTCCCTGAGAGTCAATAGTGGTCCCTGAGAGTCAATAGTGGTCCCCAGAGAGTCAATAGTGGTCCCTGAGAGTCAATAGTGGTCCCTGAGAGTCAATAGTAGTCCCTGAGTCAATAGTGGTCCCTGAGAGTCAATAGTGGTCCCCTGAGAGTCAATAGTGGTCCTTGAGAGTCAATTGTGGTCCCCTGAGAGTCAATAGTGGTCCCCCAAGAGTCAATAGTGGTCCCCAAGAAGTCAATAGTGGTCTCCCTGGTGTCAATAGTGGTCCCCCAAGAGTCAATAGTAGTCCACCAGTAGTCAATAGTGGTCCCTGAGAGTCAATAGTGGTCTTCAGATGGGAATAATGATCTCAAAGTAACAATAGACTACTAGAGAGACATCGTAATATGTGATAAAAAAAAAATGTTGCCATTTTTTCTTAAGCAATAACAATTTGTTTTGTTTAAAATTTTCGTTTCATGCAAAACAAAATACCTTGAAAGCTTTCGGGGCCTACAGTCATAGAGCTGACATCTCTTTACCCTGAGAAGATGGAAACGTTGAGCTGGGTGAAGATTTTTCAGGGGAAAAATTCTGGGAGGACGTCCGAGGCTTCCTCCATTTTTTTTTAGGATTGTGTGTATAAAGAGATCAAGTTTGATTTGCATTTAGTTTGGCGAGCGGGTGTAGCGACTGGAAGGTGGTGAGGATGGTTTGGTGGTGTGGAGTTTCCTGTGTGTGTGTGTGTTGTACTTTCTGTGTGGGGAGGATTGGGGGGATTTTCCTCCCCAAGTGTTTGTTTACATCGGTGGGTTCCCAGTCGGTGTACGATAATTATGTTTATTTTTTCTGAGTAAGATGCCTGCACCACTTGCTTGTAATAAGTTAAACAAAATCTGTGTATGATAAATAATTGTTTTGTGTACATGACAAGTTCTGAATTCTTAAATTCGACAACTTTTATGTTTTATAAGATAAGTTGACCCTCCGTAAAAAAAACTTTGCTGCCATCGTACGATAACTTGGGTTATCGCATACGGGAGCTTAGGTAATTGTGTACTAATAACTTTGTTAACTTAGTCTTTTATTGATTTATGTTATGTATTTATTTATCTACAAGCGTGTTCATTGGGTTTGTGAGAGTACATTGATATTTTGACAGTCTTGCACAACCACTAACAAGCACATAGTGGTTCGGTAGTTAACTGCTCTACTTGAAACAACTGATCAGCAAGGAACATCTCTGACACGATAACAACTGTTCATAAATAAGATATAACTGTTATTTGTTGTTACGGATTCTTCTTAAACATTTTAATTTGAATTTAAGTATTTTAGGAATATGTTTAAATAGAGTTGTTATTTCTTCCTCGTTATCAACTAGCTACCCACACGTTTGTAGTTAACTAATCTGGTAACCAGACCTTCCACTAATCAGTCCAACTGACTATGTAATTAATGTTCAAACTGTCTAATCAGACCTTGACTAATTAGCGAAATCAGAAATCAGGGCGTGATTAAGACACAGATAAGACATTAAAACCCGTTACCAGGAGATTGGCTGACCAATCTAACCAGACAAGCTGACCTAGACACACACACACACACACACACACACACACACACACAATCAATCATTCGGAATCATTCAGAATCTTGTACACCACATAAGTAAGACCAATCCTGGAGTATGCGGCCCCAGCATGGAGCCCGTACCTTGTCAAGCACAAGACGAAGCTGGAAAAAGTCCAAAGGTATGCTACTAGACTAGTCCCAGAACTAAGAGGCATGAGTTATGAGGAAAGGCTGCGGGAAATGCACCTTACGACACTGGAAGACAGAAGAGTAAGGGGGGACATGATCACAACCTACAAAATCCTCAGGGGAATCGACCGGGTAAACAAGGATGAACTATTCAACACTGGTGGGACGAGAACAAGGGGACACAGGTGGAAGCTGAGTACCCAAATGAGCCACAGAGACGTTAGAAAGAACTTTTTTAGTGTCAGAGTAGTTAGTAAATGGAATGCACTAGGAAGTGATGTGGTGGAGGATGACTCCATACACAGTTTTAAATGTAGATATGATAGAGCCCAGTAGGCTCAGGAATCTGTACACCAGTTGATTGACGGTTGAGAGGCGGGACCAAAGAGCCAAAGCTCAACCCCCGCAAGCACAATTAGGTGAGTACACACACACACACACACACACACACACACACACACACACACACACACACACACACACACACACACACACACACACACACACAGTTCCTGGACAGCTTAGAGGTGAGTAGCCTAATACGATTGATGTGAGGCTTTGTGCTCCCTATCCTAGAATAAGTTAGGGACGGTTAGCCTCGAGTCCAAGTGTAGGTGTCGGTGTTCAACGTCACTATTACTGCAGGACTTGGCCATGTTTGTGGGTACTAATTGGCCATGTTTGTGGGTACTAATTGGCCATGTTTGTGGGTACTAATTGGCCATGTTTGTGGGTACTATTTGGCCATGTTTGTGGGTACTAATTGGCCATGTTTGTGGGTACTAATTGGCCATGTTTGTGGGTACTAATTGGCCATGTTTGTGGGTACTAATTGGCCATGTTTGTGGGTACTATTTGGCCATGTTTGTGGGTACTAATTGGCCATGTTTGTGTGTACTAATTGGCCATGTTTGTGGGTACTAATTGGCCATGTTTGTGGGTACTAATTGGCCATGTTTGTGTGTACTAATTGGCCATGTTTGTGGGTACTAATTGGCCATGTTTGTGGGTACTAATTGGCCATGTTTGTGGGTACTAATTGGCCATGTCTGTGGGTACTAATTGGCCATGTTTGTGTGTACTAATTGGCCATGTTTGTGGGTACTAATTGGCCATGTTTGTGGGTACTAATTGACCATGTTTGTGGGTACTAATTGGCCATGTCTGTGGGTACTAATTGGCCATGTCTGTGGGTACTAATTGAAGAAGCTTTGTACACCCCCCCCCCCATGCAGACAATTCTAATTTCCAAAGCACGTGGAGCATTTATAACTAATCATTTAACTAAGCAAGTCCAACCTCCGTTCTAACCAATCAGGCCCCAGAGACTAAGTAACTAACCAATCCTAACCTACTACTAATGAACCAATCCCAGCTCGTAAGAAAGCAGACAGCAGAGACTCGCCAACCAATCGATGGTGCTACATATCCTTCCCGGTTTGGTGCCTTCTTTTGATAATTACTTAGCCAACCAATCCCAGCTCCTAATAAAGCAGACGGCAGAGACTAGCAACCAATCCCAGGTCGTAAGAAAGCAGACAGCAGATACTAGCCAGCCAATCCGAGCGGGCGTAGCCCCCCAGGAGGGCCTGAGAGACTAATGAGAGGTGATGGTTGACAGGGTCGGAGCACAGTGTGGTGCTGAAGGAGATCAGTGTTCCCCTGTGGAGCAACCCGACGTGCCAGGGCGCCCTCAGGGAGCAGTTCGGGCCCGCCTACACCCTGCCCAAGACCGCCCTCTGTGCTGGCGCCGAGGGACGCGACGCCTGTGACGTGAGTACCTGTGCACCTGTGCACCTGAGCACCTGAGCACCTGATAAGGGTGCCTGAAGGGGGGATGAACGTGTGTTTATCTTGTAATAGAAATAGTGTCTGCAGGATCGAGCATTGACTCTTGGATCCCGCCTGTGTGTGTGTGTGTGTGTACTCACCTATATGTACTCACCTATATGTGCTTGCAGGATCGAGCATTGACTCTTGGATCCCGCCTTTCTAGCTATCGGTTGTTTACAGCAATGACTCCTGTCCCATTTCCCTATCATATCTAGTTTTAAAAGTATGAATAGTATTTGCTTCCACAACCTGTTCCCCAAGTGCATTCCATTTTTCTACTACTCTCACGCTAAAAGAAAACTTCCTAACATCTCTGTGACTCATCTGAGTTTCCAGTTTCCACCCATGTCCCCTCGTTCTGTTATTATTACGTGTGAACATTTCATCTATTTCCACTTTGTGTGTGTGTGTGTGTGTGTGTGTGTGTGTGTGTGTGTGTGTGTGTGTGTGTGTGTGTGTGTGTGTGTGTGTGTGTGTGTGTGTGTGTGTGTGTGAGTCTGTGTCTGTGTGTAAATATACACCTGATCTAGGGTTCCTCGACCATTCACGTGTGCAAATACGAAACCTCTGCATCTTTCCTCAACCATGGCGGCTTTGTTGTCATTTATTAAACAGTCTGTGAGCTCGGAAGCTCTACGAGGTAGTTAATGACAATAATAACCCCGCGTTGTGAAGTGTCCAGGCTTATTATAGTCGTTTAATGAATGTAAACAAAGCCACCATGACTGAGAAAAGATGTAAAGGTTTCGTCAGTGGTAAAAACTTGAGGCTGATAATTACATATGTGTGTGTGTGTGTGCCGTAGCTTAAGTGTAATACAAGATATAACAATGTTGCAATGATTATTGCTTGCATTTTGTTTCCCTAAGAGGAGTTTATTTGTTTGTTGCTTCTTCCTCTCATTTATCACCCCCCCCCTCACAATATCAAGCCATTCAACACAATCATAATCCATCTCAGACAATCACGGTTCATCCCAGACAATCACGGTCCATCCCAGACAATCACAATCCATCCCAGACAATCACGGTCCATCTCAGACAATCACGGTCCATCTCAGACAATCACGGTCCATCCCAGACAATCACGGTCCATCTCAGACAATCACGGTCCATCCCAGACAATCACGGTCCATCTCAGACAATCACGGTCCATCTCAGACAATCCCCCCCGCCCCGCCCCCCAAGCACGTCCCCACTTGCCCGAGCACACAGCCTCACCTCAGCCGTGCTCCCCCAGGGTGACGGCGGAGGGCCCCTGGTGTGCGAGAAGGACAAACACTGGTACCAGGTGGGCGTGGTCAGCTTCGGCATCGGCTGCGGCAGGAGGAACATCCCGGGCGTGTACACCCGCGTCGACGCCTTCGAGGACTGGATCAAGGAAACTATTGGCGTCCACCACCACCCGTAGGTGTCGTCGGGGGAGGCGGGAGGGAGGGAAAGAGAGGGCTCTAGTTAATGAAGGTCATCTCAGCTCCTTCATGTTGTGATGTGATCCAGTAGGAGAGTCAAGGGAGGTCGGCCAGGTTGAGGAGAGAGTCTTCAGATGCCTCTCAGAAATATCGTGCTGTAGGTGGAAGTCGGTATTACGCCCATTAGTACCGCGCCCACATGGTGGGTGACAGGGGCCGCCCATCAGTACCGCGCCCACATGGTGGGTGACAGGGGGGCCGCCCATCAGTACTACGCCCACATGATGGGTGGCACGCCCAAACAGTAACAAATTATTAGGGTGTGAATATGTGTGTACAATGTGTATTAAGGAAAATATGGTAATGATTTGAGCAGATGTGTTGGTTGTATCCAACACTGCCTCTCATATTGTTGTTCAGGATGCCATTTATGCTATTACTGCTGAGGACACACGTGCGTGTGTGTGTGTGTGTGTGTTTTGGTTGTAGAGCTTGCATGGTGCTCAAACCCAGAGCTCTGGTAGAGCAGGAAGGTATAGTTCGGTGTTGGTGCAAGAGCTTGAGCACCGTTCCTCCACTCCGTCCTCACATCCTATTGTCTTCCTAACCCTTCCAAGTGCTGTATGATCATACTGTCTTAGCCAGTACATCTCTGTATATCCCCTCCCCCCCCCCCCCCCCTCCGGTGTCATCAACAATGGGTCTGAATTTGTTGAGTGATCTGCCTTGAGTGTTGTCTTACGGCTGAGTGCGAGAGGAACTGTCAAGAGGGTTGTTTGTGCCGTGTGAAGGACCAAGATGGTCGCTCCTACCTTACACTCTAACAAGCAAGACAATGAGTCGTATAAATGACTCCCTGGCAGCACTGAAATCTATCAGGAATTTTTCCCTAATTTAAAAAAAAAATCCCCAATTTTTTTTTTTTTAAAGATTGGCTGAAAGTTTGTTGTAAGTAAACGTGTGTTGTAAGTGCGATGTATTGTTGTGTGTTGTATAAATGCAATGTTTACCAGTGTGCTGTGTAGAGGTGCTGTGTTGACCGTGAGGGCTGAGCACCGGGTGTAATTGTCTGCCAATGTTGGCCTCAGAAATGTTCTTGGGCAACCAAGCTAGAGTCAAAAATGTGATTGTGTGGATTGTATTGGTTGAAAGATTAGTGGTAAAAAAAAATAATTTCTGATATCAAAAGAGATCAAAAAACTTCATGGAACCGGTTTGTTGAGAAATTTGTTGATGCTAAGAAAATATATGATAATGAGGGACTAAATATTCCATGAACAGTGAACAACAGGTCCCATGAACAGTGAAGAACAGGTCCCATGAACAGTGAAGAACAGGTCCCATGAACAGTGACTAACAGGTCCCACAGTCCCTCAAGACCTGACCAGCACAAGAGTCTTCTCTCACTTCCTCAGCCTGGCTGTCGTCCTCGGCTGAACATCACGGTAGACTGTAGTGTACCTTGTGAGTGTTGGTGTAAACTCCGTGGTCCTCCACACCTGCTGGTGCTGGAGACCACGGCCACGAGGGCCACGAGGGCCACGAGGGCCCCAGAAGGCACAGGTCTAAGTTGTGTATAAAATTGTATAAAAAAATGAGAGCTTTAGTGTCATATGTTCTGTGTTGTACAAATAGGTGGTGGGAATTTAAAAAAAAATATATGTGATGTATGTAAACTACATCAGGTGTGTTCATCAGGCGTGTTCATCAGGCGTGTTCATGAGGTGTGTTCATCAGGCGTGTTCATCGTAGCTATCCATGTATTTATTAATAACTTGCAGAATGTTTAGGTAAATGCTTTTATATGTAAAGGATCCATCATGTTTATTCATCTCTGTGACTTCTCATCCCACGACAGACTTGATCGCACTCCTGTCTCAGCATTATATACATTAACGTTGTATATTATAGTTTGATGTGCAGATAGGCCTAGAATTAGTTAGTGTACATGTTTGGGTTTTGCTGACAAATATAAGTATTTACAGATGAGGGTGATGCACTTAAGGCAGCCCGCCATCAGGCTATGGTCACTCCACCCAGCGACCGACCCCAAAAGACGCATTCATCACTTTTAATATGCTATTCATTCAAAATAGAATTTTCTCAACTATAAATTATAATATATTAGTATATTATGCATATTTAGGTTAGGTTAAAGTAGGCGTTTAGGTTCTGTTGCCAGATATTTGTATTATTAGTGTGTGGGTGACCCATCTACTGAGTTGGGATTCGAACAGAAGTCGTCAGCGAAGCACTGTTCGATCGCCATCAGTTGTGTGTCAGTCCGGCCTCATCAACAATGGCCAAATGCTCGTTAATCCAGCCACCAAGCCCCCCCCCCCTGGTGTTTATGAATGAAAAACGGTTTACACGCGACTCACAACTGATGACGTTCGAACATTTCTCGAACAGCACTTCGCTGACGACTCTGTTTGAATCACAACTCTATAGACCAACCCGTCCGAGACTCAAGTCCATTCCATCCAGCGGTCGACCCCCACCCCCCTCCAGACGCATTCATAAATTTGAAGCAAGGCTCTTCATTCAAAATGGGAATTTTCTTATATATAAATTATTATTATAATATATTAGCATATTGTGCAAGCCCGTCCTCCAAACGAAGACCCAAAAGTGATTCCATCCACCCGCCAAACCCCCTGGTGTTTATTAATGAAAAATGGTTTACACACGACTCACAACCAACCCGTCCTCGACTCAAGTTCATTCCATCCAGCGGTCGACCCCACAGACGCATTCATAAATTTTAACAAGCGGTTCATTCAAAACGGGAATTTTCTCAAATATATATAAATATTATAATATATTAGTATATTGTGCATATATAGGCATAGGTTAGGTTAGGTGTTTAGGTTCTGTTGGCGATTATTTGTATTTGTAGTACGTTAGTACGTGGGTGAAGTATTTACAGCGTTGTGGTTCGAACAAAATTCGTCAGTGAAGCACTTGTTCCGGATATGTTCGAACGTCAGCAGTTGTGAGTCGTGTGTAAACCGCTTTTCATTCATAAACAGGGGGTTTGGCGGGTGCATGGAATCACTTTTGGATCTTTGTTTGGAGGACGGGCTGTTACACACGACTCACAACTGTTGTTCAAACACTTCCGGAACAAGTGCTTCACTGACGAATTTTGTTCGAACCACAACGCTGTAAATGCTTCACCCACGTACTACAAATACAAATAATTGCTAACGGACCCTAAACACCTAACCTAACCTATGCCTATATATGCACAATATACTAATATATTATAATATTTATATATATTTGAGAAAATTCCCGTTTTGAATGAACCGCATGTTAAAATTGATGAATGCGTCTGTGGGGTCGACCGCTGGATGGAATGGACTTGAGTCGAGGACGGGTTGAAAAATACAAATAATCGCCAAAACAATCTAAGCACCTAACCTAACCTTCGCCTAACTATAAATACAACACTAATATCAAATACTACTAATTTACATACGAAACAAACTTATTTTTAATACACAATACGTTGAAATTGACGAATGCGTCGTAGAGAATAGCCGCCGCTTTAACGAGCGTGGCACGAGGATTGGTTGTGTAACTCCTGTAGACTGTGTGTGTGCGCCGGGGGTTGGGGGGGGCGGGGGTGGAGCGCCTGCTGGGTACACGTGAATTTGACCCAAGTTTACAGGGATGGGCTCAGAGATCCCGGGACGAGTAGGGTTAATGGGTTACTGTCTCAAGACACGATTATATTGACCCTTCTTGACTGCTGCCACCATCTTGACCCTTGTTGACATCTGCCACCATATTGACCCTTCTTGACGCCTGCCACCAAAATTGACCCTTCTTGACACCTGCCACCATCTTGACCCTTCTTGACACCTGCCACTTCAAACAAGTATGTGATACAAACATCGTGTGTTGTATATCCCTCATGTACAAGATCGTGCTGGAGCATCGTGCAAGACCTGAGTAAAATTAGAATTTTTGACAGATTTTAGTTTATGTGAATGTGATTATTACTTTAACATAATTATATTGAGGCGCGAGGAATGTGTCGCGAGACAGCCGCACAACACTGCCAGAAGTCGACAATTAATATCACTATTACTGGCCGCTAATGAGAGCCATTACTATGTGTTGTGACGTGGCGCTGACTCTAACAGCACTATTGATCAAGCGCAGGAGGGTGACGACACCTCCTGCACCTCACTCCTCATTCCCCTCCACAACCATCTCTTAAAATTGTTATATTCTGACGCTCCATAAACACAGTTGGATTCTTTTCTAACGCTTCAAACTGGTTTGAAATTCTCTTGTGTTACAGTGGGGACAAGACTAGTGGCGGACTGTGAAGTTAGTCGCAGTGTTGAACCCGACCAGTGTTCAATAGTGTTCAGTATATGGGGCCGGTGGTGGCAGCCTGAGCGGCCATGTGGTCCCTCATAAGGTCTTCCCGCTGGGTCAAGCTGTGACTGTGGCCGGTGGTGGCAGCCTGAGCGGCCATGTGGTCCACATAAGGTCTTCCCGCTGGGTCAAGCTGTGACTGTGGCCGGTGGTGGCAGCCTGAGCGGCCATGTGGTCCACATAAGGTCTTCCCGCTGGGTCAAGCTGTGACTGTGGCCGGTGGTGGCAGCCTGAGCGGCCATGTGGCCCCACATAAAATCTTCCCGCTGGGTCAAGCTGTGACTGTGGCCGGTGGTGGCAGCCTGAGCGGCCATGTGGTCCACATAAGGTCTTCCCGCTGGGTCAAGCTGTGACTGTGGCCGGTGGTGGCAGCCTGAGCGGCCATGTGGTCCACATAAGGTCTTCCCGCTGGGTCAAGCTGTGACTGTGGCCGGTGGTGGCAGCCTGAGCGGCCATGTGGTCCCTCATAAGGTCTTCCCGCTGGGTCAAGCTGTGACTGTGGCCGGTGGTGGCAGCCTGAGCGGCCATGTGGTCCCTCATAAGGTCTTCCCGCTGGGTCAAGCTGTGACTATGGCCGGTGGTGGCAGCCTGAGCGGTCATGTGGTCCCACATAAGGTCTTCCCGCTGGGTCCAGCTGTGACTGTGGCCGGTTGTGGCAGCCTGAGCGGCCATGTGGTCCCACATAAGGTCTTCCCGCTGGGTCAAGCTGTGACTGTGGCCGGTGGTGGCAGCCTGAGCGGCCATGTGGTCCCTCATAAGGTCTTCCCGCTGGGTCAAGCTGTGACTGTTGCCGGTGGTGGCAGCCTGAGCGGCCATGTGGCCCCACATAAGGTCTTCCCGCTGGGTCAAGCTGTGACTGTGGCCGGTGGTGGCAGCCTGAGCGGCCATGTGGTCCCACATAAGGTCTTCCCGCTGGGTCAAGCTGTGACTGTGGCCGGTGGTGGCAGCCTGAGCGGCCATGTGGTCCCTCATAAGGTCTTCCCGCTGGATCAAGCTGTGACTGTGGCCGGTGGTGGCAGCCTGAGCGGCCATGTGGTCCCTCATAAGGTCTTCCCGCTGGGTCAAGCTGTGACTGTGGCCGGTGGTGGCAGCCTGAGCGGCCATGTGGTCCCTCATAAGGTCTTCCCGCTGGGTCAAGCTGTGACTGTGGCCGGTGGTGGCAGCCTGAGCGGCCATGTGGTCCCACATAAGGTCTTCCCGCTGGGTCAAGCTGTGACTGTGGCCGGTGGTGGCAGCCTGAGCGGCCATGTGGTCCCTCATAAGGTCTTCCCGCTGGGTCAAGCTGTGACTGTGGCCGGTGGTGGCAGCCTGAGCGGCCATGTGGTCCCACATAAGGTCTTCCCGCTGGGTCAAGCTGTGACTGTGGCCGGTGGTGGCAGCCTGAGCGGCCATGTGGTCCCTCATAAGGTCTTCCCGCTGGGTCAAGCTGTGACTGTGGCCGGTGGTGGCAGCCTGAGCGGCCATGTGGTCCCTCATAAGGTCTTCCCGCTGGGTCAAGCTGTGACTGTGGCCGGTGGTGGCAGCCTGAGCGGCCATGTGGTCCCTCATAAGGTCTTCCCGCTGGGTCAAGCTGTGACTGTGGCCGGTGGTGGCAGCCTGAGCGGCCATGTGGTCCCTCATAAGGTCTTCCCGCTGGGTCAAGCTGTGACTGTGGCCGGTGGTGGCAGCCTGAGCGGCCATGTGGTCCCACATAAGGTCTTCCCGCTGGGTCAAGCTGTGACTGTGGCCGGTGGTGGCAGCCTGAGCGGCCATGTGGTCCCACATAAGGTCTTCCCGCTGGGTCAAGCTGTGACTGGGGAAATACACGCTGCTCTAATTGGCTCTTTTTTTTTATTTGTCATTCTGAAGTTGGCTCAAGCCAATCAGGTGATTGGCTGGTAAATACCACCACGGTCACTGATTGGTCCTCGTGTGACAATATTGTCTTTATTTAGTTCTTATCTTCAGCGACAATCATTGACTAGTCTTTATATATCGCAGCGTTCAGCGATTGGTTCCAACTGATTATCACGGTCACTGATTGGCTATTATATTACATGCTGTCCACTTATTGGTTCATACTGGTCATAGGGTACAGTACTCTTTGGTCCTCCCCTGCATAAATATATGCTAGCATCTGTCACTCTTGGTTATATTACATATGAAGGTTTGATCTGTCAGTTATTAGAGGGATGTTAGTGATAGATGACGTCACGCACAGCAACGGCCAATCACTGTGCTAACAAGGTAGGTGACGTCACGCACAGCAACGGCCAATCACTGTGCTAACAAGGTAGGTGACGTCACGCACAGCAACGGCCAATCACTGTGCTAACAAGGTAGGTGACGTCACGCACAGCAACGGCCAATCACTGTGCTAACAAGGTAGGTGACGTCACGCACAGCAAACACCAATCACTGTGCTAACAAGGTAGGTGACGTCACGCACAGCAAACACCAATCACTGTGCTAACAGGCCAGATGACGTCACTCAGGACACGGACGTATCAGAGTATGCGTCGCGCGGTCACAAGATTTGGGCTGAATTTTCATTTTAATCCAACCTCCCAATCTCCAATCTTCCCATCTTCCTATGCGTAAGAGCATCCTGTGCCACCCTCTGTGTTAGCACCTGGATTGTACCTGGGTGGGGTTCTAGGAGTTCTGCTCCCCCCCCCCCGGAACCCGGCACGAGGCCAGGCTGGATTGTGAGAGTTTGGTCCACCAGGCTGTTGCTTGGAGCGGCCCGCAGGCCCACATACCCACCACAGCCCGGTTGGTCCGGCACTCCTGGCAGGAAACTGTATAATTTGTTCTTGAAGCCCAGTGTTCTCTAATTGTATTTATGGCACCTCTACAGTTCACTGGCTCTATTCTGTATTTCCTACCATGTCCTGTGTCGACGTCCCTGTGACTGAGAGGGTCCTGTGTCGACGTCCCTGTGACTGAGAGGGTCCTGTGTCGACGTCCCTGTGACTGAGAGGGTCCTGTGTCGACGTCCCTGTGACTGAGAGGGTCCTGGTCGACGTCCCTGTGACTGAGAGGGTCCTGGTCGACGTCCCTGTGACTGAGATGGTCCTGGTCGACGTCCCTGTGACTGAGAGGGTCCTGGTCGACGTCCCTGTGACTGAGAGGGTCCTGGTCGACGTCCCTGTGACTGAGATGGTCCTGGTCGACGTCCCTGTAACTGAGAGGGTCCTGGTCGACGTCCCTGTGACTGAGAGGGTCCTGGTCGACGTCCCTGTGACTGAGTGGGTCCTGGTCGACGTCCCTGTGACTGAGAGGGTCCTGGTCGACGTCCCTGTGACTGAGAGGGTCCTGGTCGACGTCCCTGTGACTGAGAGGGTCCTGTGTCGACGTCCCTGTGACTGAGAGGGTCCTGGTCGACGTCCCTGTGACTGAGAGGGTCCTGGTCGACGTCCCTGTGACTGAGAGGGTCCTGGTCGACGTCCCTGTGACTGAGAGGGTCCTGGTCGACGTCCCTGTGACTGAGAGGGTCCAGGTCGACGTCCCTGTGACTGAGAGGGTCCTGGTCGACGTCCCTGTGACTGAGAGGGTCCAGGTCGACGTCCCTGTGACTGAGAGGGTCCTGGTCGACGTCAGAGTCCCAAGCATCCATCAATAACAGCCCAACAATCATTGATGCATTCGGAATATACAAAACATGGCCCTGGAAAGATGACCTTCACCAGAGCGGTACATACAAACATCAACACACAAGAGTCAGGTCTAAAATCAGAGAAAAATTTGAGCCCCCCTCTTCGTTATAAGCAAACAAACCTAACCTAACCCAACCTAACCTATGAGAAGGACCTAACCTATGAGAAGGACCTAATCTATGAGAAGGACCTATTTTAACGTGATCTAACCCAATCCAACTTAACACAACCTAACGAAAATAAAGAGATACATTATTGAGATTTAAATATGGTGTACACTAGGTTTGTGACGTCGCTATGACGTCATAAGGTTCAACCTGGTACAGGTCTTAGACCCCTACCAGGGACATAACATCATAGAAAATGGTCAGTGTCACTATTGTAGACTAACAGTGGGGGTCACTATGCACAATTCTCTCGAAAACGATTGCAATAAATGTGTTGAAGGCCTTGCGCAGTTTAAGGGTTAAGCAAGTCGGTTTCCTTGTGTCGTTTGGTTAGACTTTTTTATAATTTGATTGCAACTATTCTATTATTATCAGTAATTAATAATAATGATAGCAGAAGAATTCACTCGTTATGGGAAGGGAATTTTACCTTTTAGGCAGCTCAAGGGTAGGTTGTTGCAGTGAGGAGAGTGACGACCCTTGGCCAGATGCTGGGGTTGGAAGCCTAGGTGCTGGGACCACAAGTATGGGTGCTGGGACCGCAAGGCCAGGTGCTGGGACCACAAGACTGGGTGCTGGGACCACAAGTATGGGTGCTGGGACCGCAAGGCCAGGTGCTGGGACCACAAGACTGGGTGCTGGGACCACAAGGCTGGGTGCTGGGACCACAAGACTGGGTGCTGGGACCACAAGGCTGGGTGCTGGGACCGCAAGGCCAGGTGCTGGGACTACAAGACTGGGTGCTGGGACCACAAGGCTGGGTGCTGGGACCGCAAGGCCAGGTGCTGGAACCACAAGTATGGGTGCAATATGTATTTCCTACAATGCCTTGTACACGAGTGAGTGGCACCGTTACATTCATCACACTATAAGTGGCAAGACGCTGGACTGTTGCACACATGACTGAAATTTGCCATTAGACCCTTCAGACTAATGGCAACCACCAGAATTACAAATACAGGAGGAAGACAATTAATTATCCTCTATGGTTTCAATCCCCCTTCGTATATCACTGTCTTACTCTCACATTCACCATCACCATCTTCACCATCACAATCATCATCATTATTACTATTTTTTCCCGAACGAGATCTAGATGCTTTGTACAGTTTTTGTATGATATAAATAAAATATTCGAATTTGATCAATGACTGTCTTTGCATCCTTGTAAGAGCCTAATGGCGAAGCTTCGTGCTGAAGCTTCGCTGTGAAGCTTCACTGTGAAGCCTCGGTGGTTGTTAGGGTCTGATCATGCGACATGTGAAACGCACAAAGATGTGTAAATTGGTATCATGAATGATAGCCGGAAGCTCTTAATATTACTAGGACACAAACGTTGCACTATATAGAGCCTTCAGGGATTGGCGCTTTCTCTTGATAACTATTCATTCCGTAAATATGAGATAGAGCACTCGATGGAGTGAGCGGAAGTGATCAGCGCTCAACTGATCACATCCTCGCTGCTCAACTCACTCGCTCATTCACTGAGTATTCTCGCCGATGTAATAGCGTCGTTTACGTTAAGATCCTGTGTGTGGTCACTGGGATAATGTGAGAATTATCTTCCAGTGTCCACTTCGGTATAACATTATCTTACCAGTCGAGGTTCCTGTTATCAATATCCTTCAAGAAAGGAGTTACGACGACGCTGGACCTGCTCGAGACGGGAGTAAATCCTGTGGCCTCATTACTACAGGATTTGATCAAGCGTCTCTCTCTGCTAGAGCCGTTCACTTGCTAGAGCCGTTCACTTGCCAGAACCGTTCACTTGCCAGAGCCGTTCACTTGCCAGAACCGTTCACTTGCCAGAGCCGTTCACTTGCTAGAGCCGTTCACTTGCCAGAACCGTTCACTTGCTAGAGCCGTTCACTTGCCAGAACCGTTCACTTGCCAGAGCCGTTCACTTGCTAGAGCCGTTCACTTGCTAGAGCCGTTCACTTGCTAGAGCCGTTTACTTGCTAGAGCCGTTCACTTGCTAGAGCCGTTCCCTTGCTACAGCCGTTCACTTGCCAGAGCCGTTCACTTGCTAGAGCCGTTCCCTTGCTACAGCCGTTCACTTGCTAGAGCCGTTCACTTGCTAGAGCCGTTTACTTGCTAGAGCCGTTCCCTTGCTACAGCCGTTCACTTGCTAGAGCCGTTCACTTGCTAGAGCCGTTCCCTTGCTACAGCCGTTCACTTGCTATAGCCGTTCACTTGCTAGAGCCGTTTACTTGCTAGAGCCGTTCACTTGCTACAGCCGTTTACTTGCTAGAGCCGTTCACTTGCTACAGCCGTTCACTTGCTAGAGCCGTTCACTTACTAGAGCCGTTTACTTGCTAGAGCCGTTCCCTTGCTACAGCCGTTCACTTGCTAGAGCCGTTCACTTGCTACAGCCGTTCACTTGCTAGAGCCGTTCCCTTGCTACAGCCGTTCACTTGCTAGAGCCGTTTACTTGCTAGAGCCGTTCACTTGCTACAGCCGTTCACTTGCTACAGCCGTTCACTCTCCAGAACCGTTCCCTTGCTACAGCCGTTCACTTGCCAGAACCGTTCCCTTGCTACAGCCGTTCACTTGCCAGAACCGTTCCCTTGCTACAGCCGTTCACTTGCCAGAGCCGTTTACTTGCCAGAGCCGTTTACTTGCCAGAGCCGTTCACTTGCTAGAGCCGTTTACTTGCTAGAGCCGTTTACTTGCTAGAGCCGTTCACTTGCTAGAGCCGTTCACTTGCTAGAGCCGTTTACTTGCTAGAGCCGTTCACTTGCTAGAGCCGTTTACTTGCCAGAGCCGTTTACTTGCCAGAGCCGTTTACTTGCCAGAGCCGTTCACTTGCCAGAGCCGTTTACTTGCTAGAGCCGTTCACTTGCTAGAGCCGTTTACTTGCTAGAGCCGTTCACTTGCTAGAGCCGTTTACTTGCTAGAGCCGTTTACTTGCTAGAGCCGTTCACTTGCTAGAGCCGTTTACTTGCCAGAGCCGTTTACTTGCCAGAGCCGTTTACTTGCCAGAGCCGTTCACTTGCCAGAGCCGTTTACTTGCTAGAGCCGTTCACTTGCTAGAGCCGTTTACTTGCTAGAGTCGTTCACTTGCTAGAGCCGTTCACTTGCCAGAATCCGTTTACTAGCAGGTTGTGGTACTGGCCCCCAGCGACCACACCTCCCTCACCGCCCACCAGGCCTTCCCTCTCAACCCTCTGTAACCTTCCGTCACGCTCATGCTGCAGGCCGTTCTCGCCAGCGTTCCCCGACGTTAAGAAACTGTCATACTAAAGTGCCTTATCCTAACCTACCAGAACATCCACGGCCAGAAGTCACGGGATTGATGTAAGTTTCGTGAGCCGCTGCCATTTTCTAGTTGGACAGTGGTGGCCTTAGGTAAAGTATACGGCAAAATGCAACATGTTTTATGGAGAGGGTTGTAATAGGCCGACCATTACGCCCAGGTTGTAATAGGCCGACCATTACGCCCAGGTTGTAATAGGCCGACCATTACGCCCAGGTTGTAATAGGCCGACCATTACGCCCAGGTTGTAATAGGCCGACCATTACAACCTTGGCCCAACAACCTCTTGGCCCAACATGATGGGCCTCTAATTTTCTCGGTATATCTTCTTGTTCCGGGGCTCACACTTGCTCCGGGGCTCACATTTGCTCCGGGGCTCACATTTGCTCCGGGGCTCACACTTGTCCCGGGGCTCACACTTGCCCCGGGGCTCACACTTGCCCCGGGTGTGAGCCCCAGGGCAAGTGTGAGCCCCGGGGGCAAGTGTGAGACCATCTATATATTGGTGTAAAAATGTCGTGACAACTGCAAATTGAGGGCAAGACGGAGGGAGGAAGAGGAGAGGAGAGAGAGATGCAAGAAGAGAGATGAGGAGAGACAGGGACGGCTGGAGGTCCTGCCCTCAAAGGTTATCATAGGAAATGAAGGTGATAGGAAATGTGAGGAAATAACAGAGAATAAGACAAGGAGAGAGAGAGAGAGAGAGAGAGAGAGAGAGAGAGAGAGAGAGAGAGAGAGAGAGAGAGAGAGAGAGAGAGAGAGAGAGAGAGAGAGAGAGAGAGAGAGAGAGAGAGAGAGAGAGAGAGAGAGAGAGAGAGAGAGAGAGAGAGAGAGAGAGAGAGAGAGAGAGAGAGAAGGAGGGAGAGAGAGAGAGGTAGAAGGATGTGAGCAGGAGTGGGTTAATAAAGAAAGGTTGCCCCCAACCTTCCCACACCTTTAACCTCTCTCCAAAAACCATGAAGAGTTCTAAACTTTGCGAGCGACCTGTGCATATAAATCATTATATATATATATATATATATATATATATATATATATATATATATATATATATATATATATATATATATATATATATATATATATATATATTCATAATTTAAATTAGGGGTGGTAGGAGAAGAAAATATAAAAGTGTTCAGTGAGAATCCACAAGGTCTTCTCTGAATACCTTTTGTTCTCTTCTCCGAGGCTATGGGTCCCCACAACTGGACCAGAGGTGCAGCCTCCGGGTCACTCTGAAGCTGGCAGCGGGACCTGTGAGCACAGTGTGGCCGGAGGCTGTGACGGAGAAGTCGGGAACTACACCAGCTCTGTCAATCATATCACACAATATCAAGAATTTATAGTGGTTCTTGTCCACCTGCTCCTATATTCACTTAGTTCCATCTTCCAAGCCAGCAGACACGCTCAATGTTATCTTCCGTTGATTCTAGGAGTAAATGATTTTGATTTTCCGTTTCTTTAGCTTTGGTAACAAGGCTCTCACGCCCGGCCTGCCTTAACCGGCAGGGCGGGAGGGCTACCTCTCCTCTACCTTTTCTCCTCTTTACCTCCATTTTCAAGATATATTTTGCTTCTCCTGCTCTTTCCTTTCTCTCTCCGCTTCTCCTCCCCCGCTCCTGCACTCACGGTGGGACTACGTAAGCAGGGAATAAGTAACAATAACACAGTTGGGGAAGATACCCCAACACACACACGTGTGTGAAATGTAAAAAGAATGATATTTGGGTCCGTCTTGGAGCCTCACTGGGGAGGAGTGCGAGAGGGAGTGAATATAAGGCAAGAGGGGAGGTGACGGGTGAGAAAGTGAAAGAAAGTGAAAGGAAGCATGAAAATTGAGCAATTAATGGCTATAACCTTTCCACCACCGCCCACAGGATGGGTGGGCCCTTTCCACCACCGCCCACAGGATGGGTGGACCCTTTCCACCACCGCCCACAGGATGGGTGGGCCCTTTCCACCACCGCCCACAGGATGGGTGGGGCCCTTTCCACCACCGCCCACAGGATGGGTGGGCCCTTTCCACCACCGCCCACAGGATGGGTGGGCCCTTTCCACCACCGCCCACAGGATGGGTGGGCCCTTTCCACCACCGCCCACAGGATGGGTGGACCCTTTCCACCACCGCCCACAGGATGGGTGGGCCCTTTCCACCACCGCCCACAGGATGGGTGGACCCTTTCCACCACCGCCCACAGGATGGGTGGACCCTTTCTACCACCGCCCACAGGATGGGTGGACCCTTTCCACCACCGCCCACAGGATGGGTGGACCCTTTCCACCACCGCCCACAGGATGGGTGGACACATACTAAACTGAATAAACGAAGTCTGCACTATCCCTCTCTTCTCTAATTACCTCCTTCCTTCTCCGAATGGGTATACTCAGGTACACCAGGATATACCCTCGTTACTCTGATACACCCAGAGGTACACTCTACTTATCGATGCATGTGTACTTACCCCAGAGTTTAGTTCTGGGGTTCGTTCACACCTAAAGTATTCCTTCTGGTTAATCTGGAAGCTGTTTTGTTGTCAGAGCCCTCCACCACGGGCAGGCTGGGGGTGTTACAGCTGCCTCTCCCTCCACCACGGGCCGGCTGGGGTCTTACAGCTGCCTCTCCCTCCACCACGGGCAGGCTGGGGGTGTTACAGCTGCCTCTCCCTCCACCACGGGCCGGCTGGGGGTCTTACAGCTGCCTCTCCCTCCACCACGGGCAGGCTGGGGGTGTTACAGCTGCCTCTCCCTCCACCACGGGCCGGCTGGGGGTCTTACAGCTGCCTCTCCCTCCACCACGGGCAGGCTGGGGGTGTTACAGCTGCCTCTCCCTCCACCACGGGCCGGCTGGGGTCTTACAGCTGCCTCTCCCTCCACCACGGGCAGGC